CGTCGTCCCCCTTTTTCTCCTCCTTCTCCTCGTCGTCCTCCTCCTCCTCCTCCTCCTTCTCCTCCTCCTCTTCCTTGGCCCTGGGGTGGTGCGCAGGCGATCCGATTCGGCCTGGATCGGGGGTGGACAGAACCCCCACACGGACACGCCGATCAGTGAATCGTCCGTGCTCGGTTCTCGGGAGGGCGCCGCGGCCGTCATTTGTCACCACCCACCAAACCACCCCAACCCAACCCGAAGGCCCCAATTTGCTCTCCATTTCCAGCGGGGGGGGGGTCCGGGAACATTGAGAAAACACATGTGGAACCCGTACCCCCCCTACCCGAAATTTGGGTCTTCGGGTTGGATTGGGGTGGTTTGGTAGGTAGTCAATTTGCCAGGCTGGCGCCCGCCAGGTTTGGGCCCGAGGTCATTTTGGACGAAGCCCCGCTTTGCCAAAGGGGGGCTTCTGTCCATCCCCGGCCGGAGGGCGGCTGCGCCGCGCCCGGGCCGAGGAGGGTGGCCCTGGCACGGTGGCGTCCAGGATGGCCACGGCGGCCCCGTTCCCGGTGCCCGTTTCCTGTGGGGTGCCCCCTCCTCCCCCCCGCATCCCCCCCCTCGACGTCCAGGGACCTCGATCGATCCCTTCTCCCAGGCTTTGGCTGACGGCCCTGGGGCCCGAGGCGGCGAAGAGCCGAACGACATACTCCTTGCGTCGCCCAGATCTGAGGATTTCCTCGTTTCACGGGGCCCCCCACGCCCCCACGTTTGGGCGCGGCTTGGCAGACCTGCCAGGCTGGAGCCCGAAGTTTGGCCGAGGGCCGGGCTTGGCAAAACTGCGAGGACGGAGCTCGAATTTTGGCCGAGGGCAGGGTGAGCGGGTGGGCCTTCAATTGAAAGCGTGATGTGATTTGCCCCCCCAGCACAATTTACACCGTTCAAGCCCCTTTGCACTAGATCAGTGTGAAAAGGGACTCCTCCTCCTCTTCACTCCTCCCTCCTCCTCCCTCCTCCCCTCCGCCTCCTCCTCCTCCTCCTCCTCCTCACCCTCATCCTCCTACCTCTTTAGGGGAAGAATAATGTAAGAGGATCAGGAGGAGGAGGAGGAGGAGGAGGAAGAGGAAGAGGAGGAGGAGGTGGAGGAGGAGCGGGAGGAGGAGGAGGAGGAGGGAGGTGGAGGAGAGGAGAAGAAGGACGAAGAGGTGGAAGAGGACCAGTGTAAACCCAAGAAGCGTTAACGATGTTGCTGGAAACCCTCCCTCCAAGTTCCCCATACATAGGTCCGTAGACGAATTTACTTTCGTCGCGGGAAGTGGCCGATCAGAAGAATCCTCGATCGTGCCAGAGCGCAGCTCTTAGGACTTTTGCGCGCGGATCAGCGTAACTGCTGTGTCCTGACAGCCCTAAATCCTGCCCTAACACCGTTCCTAGGGCGTCAACACCACGCACCAACGCCACTGTGACGTTCTGACCGTCCCAAAACAGAACAGAGCACCAGTCCTGATGTCGACCATACGATCCCTTTGAATCCATTCAAACTTCTAAGCCGAATGTGCGCGGCGCTGTCGCGAGAGCCGAGCTGTGAAAACCACCCGCCTTCATGCCGTGAAATTGTTGTAAATCTTTGAAAGCGAATGCACGCGGCCACACGGCGTCAGCCACATTTTGAAAACCATTCGCCCTCCATCCCTGCTATTGTTGCAAACGTTGAAGGCGAATGTGCGTGGCGCTTGGGCGAGAGCCACCTTTTGAAAACGGCCCGCCCTCCATCCGTGAAGCTGTTGCAACCTTACAAGACGAATGTGCGTGGTGCCAACGCTAGAGCCACATTTTGGGAACCACACCCGCCCTCCAGCCCTGATAATGCTGCAAACTTCCAAGACTAATGTGCGTCGGGCTGAGGCGGCAGCCACACCTTGAAAATCACACCCGGATTCCATCCGTGAAGCCGTTGCATACGCAAGGGCTTCGCCCTCTGCCGCCGGCCCCCTCTCCATCATCATGGAATGTGCAGGAGCCATGTTGGGGTGCCTGGGCGCCGTCGTGAAGCAGTATCGACCCCTCGTGCGAGGACGATTGGTAATCTTCAAGACAAATTGATATTCATATGATAGCGTTGAACTCTGTGCTGCCTTTTTCCCGGAAAGGGCGATGGCCCAGAGTT